GTTTTGGATTTTTAATTCATTTTCATTCGATAATATATGTGACCAATCTAATTTATTCCAGGCCAGAGAAACGCTGCTCCAGCCACAACGGTTTCCACAGCAACTGAGGTTGCTTGATCAAATCTTTGCGCTGCTACGAACTCTGGATTTCTGGAGTTTGGATCATGTCTCGGAATGCAGCAACCAAGTGGCCACTGCCAAAGCTCGGAGCGTGATTAGAGAAAACCGGCATCAGTCATACATAGCACGAGATGGTCCGAGTTGGTTGTGTCACCTGGTTGCATTTGAAGCAAATGCTCCATACGAACAACGCGCTTGGTGAGATCGGATGGAGTTATCATCTTTCCTCTCTTTTCAACAAGTTTACCCCTTCGTTCTTGTTAGAATGGTTATTTGATTTGTACGATGCCTACTGGTATCTCTGTTTCTTGTTTTTCTATTTTTTGTCCCAAACTCTGTCACTTTCCCTATGGGGTTTTAATATTTTCCAAGTGTTAAAACAAAAAAAAAACATCCCATCCCAAAGATTTGAATTCAAATCTGGTAGCATTAAAATACAATACTTTGAACTGTTTGAACTAATTACACTCCCAAAATTTAAGTCATTTATGAAAATTTTAAAATTTGTTTTATTGAAAAAATTTGGTGTATATTTTTGTAATATGATGAAATTATAATTAGGAATTACAATGGGCGACGTTAACTTGGTTCAAATGATATATATTTTGAGAGGATTTTAAAATAAAAAGTTGAGATTATGAATAGATGAAACTATATATTTACAGTCTCAAAAACTAATCATCGTAAAACCAAAAAAAAAAGACACACTGTAAATAGATTTTCTACGTGTGTTTTCAAACGATCACATATGATTAATAATACTTTTATATCAACAAACAGAGTGGTGATTTACGCCATAAACGTAATATTATCAATGGCTGGCCCCAGCACCGTAAAAGATTATGGATCAAAAATCAAAAACCTCTACTGTTAATAGAAAAAAGCAAACAAACAATCAGAATGTTGTTTATTTAAAAAAAAAAAGAAGAATTATTTATTTGCGATATAAAAAAAAAGTAATATATTCGAGAGTTTGGTGCTTAGTTAAAAAGTCAAATCTTATTTGGTAACTATTACCCATTGTTTTAGTCAAATGTATTTTTCTAAAAAGTATGATGATTAGTATCTAAATGGTTGCAAATCAATATTCTAAACATGACTCGGATTTTGCAATTTGGTCGATGTGGAATGTGACAGATGCGTCTTTTAGAGATTATCCTTGAATTATATAATATAAACTTAATATTGGTATTTGACCCCAACAACAAGAAAACTTAATCTTGGTCAAACGATGCCATTTTTCTAAAAGATTTCCCTTTAGACTTCGTTCTTTCGACAAGCAAAAGTAATGATATGTTTTCTTTCTTATTTAAAAGAAAACCTGAAACGAACTTTTCCAACCTTATAACTTACTACTGACCAATAAAATTGAGAAACAGACACCTAATCTGTTGAAATGTCTTCGGAGACTCTAAATCCAAGATCCCAGGTTTTAAAATCATGGATTATTTATACGCACCATTTCAAGAAAATATCCAAATTTTGTATGTTATAGACTTTTTTTATCCGTCGGACTATATTGTTTACTATATTATAGTTAATGGCATAGTGCAATGTGTTTTTTTTTTCATATAGTGTAATGTGTTTTTTTTTGGATAATTTGCTAAAAATACAAAAATAAAAATTATAATTAAAAAAGTAACCAAAAACTCCAAATCTAATGGTCTACATTTTGTCATACCCCATTTTTTCTAATTTTTTAATTTTTTTTGGGGTCAAAAGCGTAATGTGTTCCAAAAAAAAAAATATCATGATATCATAATCCATTAAGCTCAAACGTGTATAAGGTATTAGAATGTCTGAATGTGATCCGAGATAAATGAGGTATTAGAATATCTTGCATCGATTATATATATATTTTGGATTTATAGGATTTTCATACTATATG